TAATAAACACAAACTTAAATCGCATAAGAAAAACATTAGTACCTGCATTCCAAAGTTGATTTTTGATGTCTTTCTTCTTCCCAAATTTGTGCTGGAAATTGGCGAGCCAGTGTCGAATACACCATCGCCATCTCCATCCCCGCTCGTCGGGAAAACCACCAACAGCATTCCTAATCCCCGCATGTCGATCGGATATAATCGTAATATCTTCCCGCTGTGTCACGTGTTCGTGTAGTTGGTCAAAGAACCATGCCCAACTTAAGTTGTTCTCCCCTTCCACTAATGCAAATGCAAGCGGGAAAATCCGCCTGTTTCCATCAACGCCAGTGGCGATTAGAAGACATCCTCTGTACTTCCCAGTAAGGAAAGTTCCGTCAACCTTAGATAAAAATTTAAGATATAATTAGTATGAAATATACGTAACAGAAAATAATACAACATGTAAAACCCGAACCAGTTGGTAAAATACCTGAATAACCGGTATGCAGAACCCAAAACCGTCAATGCATGGTTTAAAAGCCCAAAAAAGACGATGGAACATCAGCTTCTCCTGTACTCGAACTTGATCCTCAGTGTATACATTGTTGTATACTGGGACGAAAACAGTCCCAGGATTGGACTCCTCCATTGCTCCCATAAGTCTAGGGAGTAAAGCATACGAATCCTCCCAATCACCATACACCTCAGCCATGGCTTTCTGCTTGCCATGCCATGCTTTTTTGTACCTTATCGTGTAAGAATGTCGATCCTTCACCTCTGTCATGATAGCTTTCACCTTGATATCTGGTTGTGCTTCTATAAGGTGCTTAATAGTTCTCCCAACTTTCTTTGCTTTTAGTTGCCTGTGATCTTGGGAAAGTATAGACGAGGAGCATGTGTGGATCGTCTCAGCTTTGCGAATCACCCAAGCACCCTTTCTCTTCATATTTGCAGCCCGCAGTTGCCACGTACAACCCTCTGTATCATGCTTGCATATGACATGTAGTTGTTTACTGTCAGAATATTTTACCTTCCACTCGAAATTGCGCCTCAACGCCTCTTCTGTAAAAGCATCCTGCACAGCGTCTTGCGATGTGAACGCCATACCCACCTCCAAATTGGCCGTCGGATTATACACTAGCATATGGACAAAGTCGGGGGATCATTCTGACTATGTAAAAATTGAGTTGGAACCTGTGTGTAATATGGCGTGGGTGCCTCACGAAATGCCACCTCATCCTCGTTATCATCAGTATCTTCCTCCTCCTCGCTCACTGATCTCAAATCTTCCTCAGTATCCTCGTCGCTCGACTCGAATGGATAGCTCGGGCCAGAAGGATCAACATGACCACGATCACCAACATCGTCTTCTCACGCATGTGAAGTACCCCCTGATCGAATGGTATTCTCAATTTCAGACCACTCTGGCCCCCAAGCAGGCCATTGAACACCATCGGCCTCAACAAATGGGGCTGGTATCTCAGGTTGCAGTATTCTTCCGATGGCACCCATCCGGCACTACTACCTCCACCGTAGTTGATTGAACCACCACCCTCTCCGTAACCTCCTGTATAACCACCGCCTTCGTAGTTGCTCGAACTACCACCCCATCCGTACCCTCCTGCAAAACCATCATCATGAGAATAATGGTGAGAATGAGATTCACCGACCGCCCCGGTCTCAACATACACTTCTGCAAGCCGGACTTGGTTATCGCTTAGGAACTGTAACATCATCGTAACTGCGTCATCATCGTTTATGACAACTTCTTGGAACATGACCCCGCCAGCACTCATGTCTGGATACCGGTAAGTAATTTTGCCAAGTCTCGTCTGTCCGCTCGTAGAAACCCTGTCTGCACAAATATCACAGAGTTATTGAAAATTGAATCGGGAGTCAATTTTCAGCATAATGGATTCGCCGTCCTCATAATCAATGCCTATGTCAGAGTTTGTCACCCTTCCATTCCACCGAATAGTAATATGAAACTTCTTGAATTTACCCATATCTACAATTTACAATAAGTATCTATTAGCTTAAAGACAGTAAAATTCACCAAAATCATATTGTACAACTAATATTATCCATCTCATAACTAACGAACATAAATTCAACTAACTAACAACAACATAATACGAAAATTAAATCATATTATAACTACTAAAAACATCATTAGACTATAATACGAAAAGTTTCAACATACCGAAAAATTCTTGTTCTGTGTATTATGCTCGGTTTTGGTTGCTGAAATTTGAAGAAAGGGGAGTGGTTATGTTCTTACAACTGCTGGTGGTGTGGTATTTATAACCAAATCTGCCAACTATTCACCGTTTTTGTCGAAAACGGTGAACACCATCACCGCGTTTGTCTGAAACGGTGAATAGTTGGCAGATGTGACCTAATTTTTACCTACCAGGGGTGGGAAACGTGGGAAAAGATCACCGCGTTATCCTACAACGGTGAAGGTATTCACCATTTTTAACTAAAACGGTGATGTATTCACCGTTTAAAAGAAAAACGGTGATGTGTTCACCGTTTGTGTCAAACGCGGTGAATACATCACCGTTTTACATGAATGCGGTGAATACGTCACCGTTTTTCTTTTAAACGGTGAAATTTTCACCGTCTTTGTCAAACGCGGTGATAACCTTCACTGCGTTTGTCAAAAATGGTGAATGCCAAACATGTGTACTTTGGGAAATTTTTTTATAACTTATGTATTTGGGAATTTTTTTTAAGAACGTGTGTGCAGTGGGATTTTTTCCCAGAAGCAACCTACTATGTTATGGAGATTTCTAATTCCTTACCAAAATAATCTCAGTCAAGAAAAATATACAAGTTCCTCCCCGCTTAGGATACGGTCAGTAACCGCTGGTTACTGAACAATGAGTAACCAAATTTCAGCCATTAGATTTAAGTGGGCCCTGAAAATTCAGATCTAAGGTGGAGAATTAAAGACATTTTATTTTCCCTAGTTTTCTTAATCGACTCGTATCTTCTTAGTTCTAACTCGGATTTCAATTTTTTTTTTTCCACAGATGGAACGAGTTTCTTGTGCTCTACAAAATGAGATCAATTGCCATATCTCTTGTTACCAACTCCATACCATATGGTAACTTCTTCGTGTTTAAGTCGTTTTTTAAAACGTTTGCTCAGAAGGAATTAGTTCATCATGATCTTGGATCTACAAATTTCTGGGTGAAAAAATGCAGGACCAAAAATTACCATACTTTACCACCCAGGTATGTCGGTGGTAACTTGTGGTAAACAATGATGAAAATCGTAAATTACAGTTAGTATATACTCCTACTATCATGTATTCAACCTTCATACAGTCTTGGTATGTTCATACCATCATGATATGCTTTCTTACCATATGGTATGCTCCTATTTAATATCATATGGTATTGACCGATAAAAAATGCCTCGATTTTTTTTTCCTAAAAATATATCAAAGTGGATATCATTTGAAAGAGCACAATTAATCGAGATTCACTATTTTTTAGTCAAAATCAGGCTGATTAGGCAATTTCGTTTGCCACGTCAACAGTTAATAGACTCTATGAACAGAGTTGGACGGAGAGTGAACGAACGTGCACAATTTTACTAATTTGAGTGACCAATATTAGAATTAAATATTTCTTGGGACTAAACATGAACTTTTTTAGCAAAGCCAGTCCTCCCTTTCCCACCGTCGCGACCCCTTCAGGGAGTTTCCCGTCCGATTCTCTTCGTTCTCCAATCATGTCCCATGTCCTGGAGATCTCTGCCCAAAATTCTTGGCATTCGCCAGCGACTGCTTGTGCTGAAAGGAGACTCCGGAGGAAAGGTCGAAAGTGTGCTGCAGATTATCAGTCAGAGAAACGCCGAGACGGAGGATGGCAATGCTATCTGGCACCTTATCGAGCGTAGCACCGCAAATTTCGTGACGTAAGTAGGGTTAGGCTGCCGAACAACTTCCAGCAACCTAACCTTATGGCCATCCAGATCCAGAGTGTTCTCTGGCTTAGACGGTGAGAAACGTCTCCCTTCTCTTTTTCGAACTCACTAGCAGTTAAGAGCGTATGATTTCAGTCAGCAGTTTCATTGCCGAAAATGTGACGGTGTGCGAGTTTGAGTGTTGTTAAGTATGCATAATGCAATGTATCCTCTGAAGAAGAGGATTAGTAAGGCAAATGTGAGGCTTCTTGCAGCATGTAACCTCTGAACTAAGCTTATGTATACAGTTCTCTATCAAGTAGTGATTATACCTGGTTTCCCCTGCATCTGCTTGTATTTCATTCCAGTTCTTTCACATGACTTTCTAGTCATCCGAGTTGTAGGTATAAGGGGCACGTTTGTGGTTATTTGCAAAGAAGCGCAAGCTGTGACATAGCTGTGTGTCTCATTAATCAATACTAAGTTCTGATGTATTTTCTTCACATGGGGACTATGGACATTGATGTTCAGTTTTTTTTTTTTTTTTTTTTTTGCAGGGTTCATATCTATACCAGATGGCCTATCTGATGACCTCATTTCATTCTGGGAACATAAGGGCTATCTTGGGTAGGATTTGCATGGTTCATGATACGATTTGAGAAATCACATTGCAAGATAGCCTGAATCACTTATGTACTGCTCTGAAGCTGTGGCCAACTTCTTGTTATGTTGATGCTCACTTGTCATTTTAGGTATGAAGTTCTGGGCATTTTCCTGAATCTCATATCTCTGCATCTCCCGGGTCACACTGAATAGTTCAGTTGCTTGTCAATAATATCAGCTCAGCAAATCTGTGACCAAAATAAACACACGTGCCTAAATGATGTTGGATCCCATATCTGAGGGCGGGACATGTGCATATATCTGATGAATAAAGTTGAGTGTGACACATCATATATTGTTCCCGTACCTCTTTTATGGTAAGCAGCTGCAACTTGGCATTTACTTCTTGTTGTTAAAATTCCAGTTACATGTTGTCAGCTGGATCTCTACTATTTTCCTCGTGCCAATAAGATGACATCAAGGTGCATCTCTGCTGCCCTGCCTCCCCAAGAATTGAAAGCTGGAGAGAAGCTGTATAAATGTCAACCTTACCTTCCACGTTCTCCATGCCAATATTTACATCCACGTCCCCCTCACTTGAAAAGGTGATATTTATGATTTCCCATTTAAAACTACTCACAGCTAGCTACTGCACAATATGCTCATTTGGTTTTCAGTTGTTTACAGACAGAAGTAGTGTGCAAAGTAACAGGGAAAGATCGAGATGGGGAGCGAAGGAGTCATTCTGCCACGCCATCTGGTGTTAGTTCCATGTCCTTACCAAGGCCACATCAACCCGATGCTTCAGCTTGGCACCATACTTCATTCGAGGGGATTTTCCATCTCAATAATTCACACTCAGTTCAACGCTCCTTGTCCCAGGAACCACCCTGATTTCAACTTCATAGCCGTACCAGACGGCTTACCTGACCACCTGATTTCTTCTGGTAATATACCGGCTATCTTGTTAGCAGTCAACGCCAACTGCCACACGCCCTTGAAGGATCGTGTGGCTCAAATGATGCAATCTGAGAAGCCAAATGGTAAGGTAAGCTGCATAATTTATGATGAATACATGTACCGTGCTGAATCTGTGGCGTACTCTCTGAGAATCCCAAGCATCATGCTGCGAACCAATACCGTCTCCACCTTCCTCGCTCGTGATTTTGTTCTGCGACTGATTGACGAAGGCCAAATCCCTCTGCAGGGTAATTTCTAGCTTCTTGGTATGACTAAGCTTTTTAGTTTTCACATATATCCTTATTATTCCTACCACCAAAAACTGCAGGTTCAATAATGGAGAAGCCAGTGCCGGAGCATTACCCACTCAGATACAAAGATCTGCCCACAACCATTTTCAAGTCACTGAACAACTTCGTTGAAGTGGTTAAAAATATCCGGCTCGTGGGTTCTAGTTCGGCAGTCGTCTGGAACACATTAGACTGTCTGGAGAATCCGCTTCTGGGGCAGGTGAAGCAGCAATGCCGAGTTCCAATCTTCACGGTGGGGCCGATGCACAAATCCGCTCCACAGCTCTCCACCAGCTTGCTAAAGGAGGACTACAGCTGCATCCCATGGCTGGACAAGCAGGCAGAGAACTCGGTGATCTACGTGAGCTTGGGGAGCGTGGCCTGCATTAGCGAGCACGAGTTAGCCGAGATGGCATGGGGACTAGCAAAGTGCAACCTGCCCTTCCTGTGGGTCGTCAGGCCCGGCCTGGTACGTGGGACTCGGAATGTTCGACAGTCGCTGCTGCCTAACGGCTTCAGAGAAGGCGTCGGGGAAAGAGGGCGGATCGTGGAATGGGCGCCACAAGAGGAAGTGCTGGCACACAAGGCGGTAGCAGGGTTTTGGAGCCATTGCGGGTGGAACTCTGCCGTGGAGAGTATTGCTGAAGGGGTGCCCTTGATTTGCAGGCCAAACTTCGCCGACCAGAAGGTGACTGCAAGGTATGTGACCCATGTATGGAGGGTAGGCATGCAGCTTGAGGAGGAACTGGAGAGGGACGCGGTGGCGGCCGCTGTGAGAAGGTTGATGGTGGAGGAAGAAGGGTTAGAGATGAGGGAAAGAGCAGTGGAGTTGAAGGGCAGAGTGGAGATTGGGACCAGGAGAGGTGGCTCCTCGTTCAAGGATCTGGATAGGCTGATAGATATGATAAGGTCGTTCTAATTTGTCTGTTCATTTGTTTGTGCGCGTTGGCTTGCCTGGGTGAGTCTACTTTCTGTTCCAGATTTCTCAGTTTACCCCACATATTGTTTGTTCTGTTACTTCGGATCACTTGTGATCTTACTTTTATCATAGGATGTCATATCACTGAATTTTTCCCTATGCAACATCCGTCCTCCATTACAGTTTTACGATTCTTGGTTTAGATAGAACTGCTAACGATCTTTACACAAGAAAACAGAGGGTAAAATTAGGGATGGAAATTGTGGTGGGTGTGGTTACCCGCCCCACATTTTGCGGGTAACCACACCACAAATATAGAATTATACTATCCACAACCCGCCTCGCAGTGGGTAGTGGTTAGTAGGGGTGGCTATGCGGTCCGGTTAAATTGGATCAAATTTATCTGGTCTCAGTCCGGTGTTTTCGGGAATATAAGGACCAAAAATTGGCAGTCCGGTCTTGATTCGGTCCGATCCCAATTTGATCTTGAGTTTAGGTGTTAGGGGGGTCTCTTATCCGGTCTTTATCCGGGTGTTTTACCTCAAATCTAAGCCCGAATATGAGATTGGATTGTTTGTTATCCGGTCCCAGTCCGGTCCCGGTCCGGGTTATACGGTCTAGTTTCAGGTAAAACCAAACAATCCGGACCAAATAGCCAGCCCTAGTGGTTAACCACTACCCGCTGCGGGTTGGTTGAGGATACCCACAAAAAATTCACCCAACCCACTAACCACAAAAATCAATATTTTGCTATCCACATCCAACCCACTATCCACAAATTATGGGTATGGATATCCATAAAATGTGCGGTGTGGTGTGGCTTGCGGGTTACCCGCAACCCGCAAACCAAACTTCCACCCCTAGGTAAAATGGCTTGTATATCATTAAACTTTAATAATTGGGTGAGTTATACCACTTAAGTCGAAATTATGCATCGAATACCACTAATGGTCTTTTGTAGTAGTTCCATACATTTTTCAATCCATAAGAGTAATATGGTAGAATTAAAAATTATTTATTTTGCCACATACATGTGTCAAGTCACCAAAATAATGTTGACTCTATTAACACTAATAGAAACACAACCCACTTGCCCATTGGGCTCATAGTAGCGAGGGAATGGCGGCGGTTGCATAGGGCAAGGCAAGGCAAAGCAAGGACCGCGACAGTGGCCAGCGAGGGAAAGCCAGACGACAACAGGTAGGGAAGATTACTTCTCTTGTTTACTCTGACTCCTTCAAATACCGAAGGATTAATTCACTCGCATAGACATAACTATTCACGTTTTGACAATAATAGTCACTTTTTGAAAAATACACAATTGTAGCCACATTTTGGAAACTCGTTTGAAAAAATTAGCTATTTTCGTCAAAAATTTTAACACCGTTAACAAAATGCTGATGTGGATGCCACCTCAATTGCACATCAGCTCCAACACACCAAGTCATGCCACCTGCTTGCCACACCATATTTTTAATTAAAATAATTAATAACAGAAAAATAATAAATCATCTCCTACAAATTTACTCTTTCTTTTTTTCTTCTTCTTCTTGCTTTCGTGTCCAGCTTTCCTTCCTATTTATTCTTTCTTCCTTCTTCTTTCTCTTTCCTTAATCGATATCCAGATTCCTCCATTCTCTATTGAATTCGTCGAGAATAGAATCAGAAATGGTCCAGGTCAGCTTCTCCGACTGCGGTGGAAGATTTGGCTGCCTTGCTACACCACCGCCGCCGCACACTCAATCACCCACCGGAAAACTCAATCCCCCATCGAAACCCTGATCCCAGAATCCTCCCCACTGTAAAACCCAAACCCCTAATCCCCCATTGCCAAATACGACGTCGATAGAGGCTGCGGGTTATGTTCTGTCCATGCTTTTGACGATGATTGCAGATCTTCCGGCTCTAACTCCAGGTTCAGGTAATTGGGCAGATCGAAGATTCTTCTTCCATGTCCCTTTTGGGCGTCATCGATGAACGTTTCGCCGAAATCACCGGTTGAGAGATAGAGACAGGAGATAAAAAAGAGGTTTTCTAGATCTAGTGATTGTGGAAGTTTGGGGACCTGCTTCACTATAGCCTCACCGACGACAGTAATATCAAGACCAAAGCCACAACCCGCAAAAACCATTATCCCAAACCTAGGATCCTTGTTTTCTCTTTCACTCGACCAAGAAGACCCCCAAACCCAAAACTCCATATTTGTAGTGGAGATTGCATAGAGAGTAACTCCAGTTTCGTAAGTGTTGGGCCATAGCTGAGCGGTATTGGGCTCGGAGGCCCACAAGAAGCCCAAGGAGGAAGGCCCGTCGGGGGGCCCACGAAGCAGGCATGGGGAACGGAGAAAGGAGGGCGGCCGCCCTAGGATGGGACAGACGGTAGGCCGCCTGACACAAGGAGCCGTTGCTTGGTAGAGGCCGAGATCTTCCTAAGATACTCCTCGAACACAGCAGGACTGAGCATTAATTGTCCGCCGTAGGCGGTCTAGATAAAGTATGACTGATCTAGGGCGCCTGACAAGGGCATTTAATGCCCGAGGCCAGGCCAACCCACTATAAATACATTCATATCTGCATGATGGGCCAGCAACCCAACTACTCTCTCTCTCTCTCTAAACATAAACTAAAAACTCTTATTCTATCTCTAACTTAAGCATCGGAGGGTGTCCCGGGCGACCGCCCACGGACCCTTGTTTTACAGGAGCTTGGAGTCCCCCACCATCTGGAACAGACGCATCACTCGTTCTTCACAAGACCGCCTAGAACATTCTAGGCTCAAACAATTTGGCGCCCACCGTGGGGCGAGAGATAGCACTGAAGAAAGGATGGATGGGAGCTCCAACACCCCTGTCAAGGACGTGGTAGGAAGAAGCAACCCCCGCGCACCAGACGCGCAGATAAGCGGCATCCGAGGATTGGAAATGCCCACTGTGGAGGAGGAAATGGAGATGGAGGACCGCAGAAAAAGTCAAGGGCAGCAAATATCGAGAATGCAAGAAAGCTTGGGGCAAATATTAGCCATGCTCAAGGAGAAAGAAAGCGAGACGCCAGGAAGCTCAGGAAAGCGACCAAACAAAGGGGAAAAAAAAGAAAGCGGTCCCGACAGCCCTGCTCGGACAGAAGGCGGGGAGTCCGATAAAGAAGAAAGTGCAGAGGACCTTAGCTTGGGATTTTCGGAAGAACACCTCAGACCCACGTATGGCAAGACAAAGGGTCCCGCCATCCTCCAAAACCCACTAGCTAAGAGCTTATTCAAAACCCAAGTTCCCCCAAACTTCTCATCACTCGGGCTGCCCGCGTATGATGGAAGCTCGGACCCTGCCGACCATTTGAGCGCTTTTATGTTGAAAATGCAGCTCATCAACGCCACAGACGCAGATCTGTGTAAGGCGTTCCCAGTCACATTTGGCGGTCAGTGTAGAGTTTGGTACACCTCCTTGCCAGAGGGAATAATTGAAGACTTTGAGCAGTTCGCAACCCTCTTTTCCTCGAAGTTTGCATCCCAGCGGAGAAGAAAGTTGACGGTATCATCGCTGATCAACTGCAAGCAAGGGGGAGAAGAATCGCTGACAAATTTCTATGATAGGTGGAACGCTATAGCCTGCGAAGTGCAGGGAATCTTGCCAAGTGTGGCGGCAGGAAACCTACGTATGTCCACGCATAGTTGTGAGCTGCGAAGAACGCTTATCAAGAAGGAGCACACACTGAAGGAATGGCCCGACCTGGACCGTTTGGTGAGAAAAGCAATCCTGCTGGAGGAAGCTATGATAGTGGAAGACGTTACCAAGCACACCAGTCTAAGGGAAAAGGAGAAAAGGAAGGGAGGATCGCCTAAAAGAAGGGGGCGGTCTCCTGAAAAAAGAAGCTACAAGCCACGGTACATACACCGAGACAACAGGAGGGAGGTTTTCACCACCAGCCAGGAAGAAAGCAGGGACCATAGAAGCGAAGGCAATGCGCACCAGACGCATAGGAGGGAGGAAGACTGAAAGTGGTGCGACTGGCACCAGATGCCCACCCATGACACCACGGAGTGTCGAGAATTCAAAGCAAGCTTGAAGTACTTGGCGCCAAGGGACCTCAAGAACCGCTTAGATACGAGACCGCATCGTCAGGAACAAAGACACCGCAAAGAAAGGTCGCCGAGCCCAAGAAAGAGATCACGCACGCCCAAGCGTGGGAGATCGAGGTCGCAAAGGAGGGAACGGTCCCCAAGGAGGGAACGGTCCCCAAGATGTGACCGCCTCCCGCCGCCACCTAGGAGGTCACCTCCCCATCGACAACCGCGCGCGAACGAAGACGACTTTGAGGTCATAACTATTGCGGGCGGGCGCAAAAGACCCCGAAGTGAGGGGGAGCGCCTAGTTCAATGCTTAAGTGTGAACAAAAGCGAGCAAGTGGATATCAGCTTTTCACCCTCTGAGCTGGTTCCTGGTGAGAGCGCCGAAGATCCACTGGTAATCTCTTTGAGAACAAGGAAGTTTAAAGTCACCAGGGCATTGGTCGACAATGGCAGTTCAGCAGACATACTGTTCTACTCTACCCTCAAGAGCATGAAGATGAGTGTCCAAGATCTCAAGCCCTCTGCTACAAGCTTAGTAGGGTTCTCGGGTTCAAAAATCAGAGTGCTGGGTTTGGTCACACTACAGGTGACAATCGGAGAAGCAGATATAACAAAGACGCGCTCAATGGACTTTCATGTAGCAGATTGTCCATCAGCGTATAATGCGATCCTAGGACGCGGTTTCCTCTAATTATTTTCTGCGGTTCCCTCCACCTGTCACCAGATGCTTAAATTCCCTGTGGGCGGAAGAGTGGGGAAAGTTAAGGGAAATACTGAACAAGCCAAGGAATGCTACCAGGCGACAATAGAAAGCTTGGAAGTGGACTTGGTGGACACTCGAGGGGGGCATCCCCGCCCGGAAGCAGTAGAGGGAGACGCGGAGGTTGTCCTTGACAGTGAAGAGCCAGAGAAAAAGGTGAGAATCTCCTCTCATCTCACAGAGGAGAAGGCAAGAGAACTCCTGGCGCTC